TCTACTTTTTAGGATTAAAAAAAAAAAAATTCAAGATTTAACTGCCTCCTCAATCTTCTTACCCCTTCACACCTTTAAAAACAGCGAGTTCTTTTAAATTACAAAGCCTTACAATTTAGAAAGTTTCCTAATAATTTCCAGAAAGCTAAGCAATGTGTAAATCCAGAACAGTTCCATCTTCCTTACAACTCAAAACACGCTGTGCAGCATTCATGTACATACCTGTAACTCCCAACGTTTTGGCAAAAGGTAACTGCAACACTCCATACTTTTAATCACAATTGTCATAACCAATGTTCTCCCAAAGCAGCGAGGCTGAGCAAGGATGAGTGAATGTGTCCAATGTGTCATGGCCTGCCGTGCCACTGCAATCGGAGGTAGTATGTTAAAGTGGCAAAAACGGTACAACACAGGGCTTGAGAAGATTCAGCAACATTGGTTTACTTTGTGTCTTAAGTCTGTAGATACGTTTTTAAAGAGCCTTTAAAATGCCGTTTGCTGTCGATTTGAAAACTGCCTATCCTGTGTTGAGTCTAAAAAAGATCTGAATGTCCAAGCAACTTTGTTTCAAGAAGGAGTTTATAAAATGCCCCAAGGGCAAAAGCAAAGTCCTCTTTCTTTGTAAGCTTACGCATTGCCTAGCACAGGGTCCAGCTTTCATACAGAAGGCGCCCCATAAGTGCTGGTTGGATTCGGTTGCTTCTCGAAGCACATTTTCACAAAACAAATGAAACCAGATTTAAAAGGAAGCTACTGTCCCTTGGGGGCTCCCCTTGGCAAAACTCTAAGGCAACAAGTGAAAATGATACAGTTGATTTTCATCACAGCCCTGATCTTGCAACAATAAGGACAGGAAACATTTTTATTAGTAAACTAAACCTTAGACAAAGACCAAAAACAAAAGTAAACAACAACTATTCTCTACGCCTCTTCCTATTAAAAGGCCAAGGTAAACCTGGAAAAAGGCATAACTGTTTAAAAACAAAACTGCCTTTGCTCTATTTTTAAATCTTTTGTTCCATGAGAAATTTTAAATTTAAAAAAATTACTTATGCCTGCAACCACTGCTATCTCTTACAAAGATTCTGTTTCCTGCTCAGATTCTGGAGCTTTTTAGAAAATAAAATGAGCAACAAAGAAAAACCCACCACATTCATCCTCGGTCTTCACTACCAAAGTAGTTAATATTGGATGTCAAAAAAAAAAAAAAGAAAGTGGAAATTCTTTACCACCTTAAAACAGTACATTATTTCTTTGTTGGAAAACATAAGAAAACTGGAAAAACAAAAAAAGCCATCCAGACCCGGCTCCTAAACTTTAATCTTGGAAAAACCAACTCCGTTTCAGATGCAATGAAGGATTTTACTGTCACAAATCTGACTTTCACTAGCATTTGTGTTTCTTTAATCCAACCCCCTAATCCTTAACTTGAGCTCTGTGGAACCAAGATTTTTTTTTTTTCTTTCTCCATGTCTCCTGTGGCCTTGAATCCCTGCTGCTGATAGAACATCAGCCATTGGTTTGTTGTACTCTATAGGGCATGGATCTGAAAAACTCCACAAATAAAAAAGAGACAGACACCAACCTGCTGGACAAATTTACTTAATAATTTTAATCTAATCTCTATGTTCAAAGGAACACAATGCATTCTTGTCGACCTCGGCACATCTCTACCAAAAAACACAACAGGTTTATTGGGATATAATTCGCATGCCATAAAAGTCACTAATTTAAAGTGTACAATTCGATGGGTTTTAGTGCAGTGTTGTACAATCATCACCACAATCTAATTTTAGAACATTTTCATCACCCCCAAAGAAACCCCATACCCATTAACAGTCACTCCCTATTCCCACCTCCCCGCCCCCCACACAACCACTAATCTACTTTCAGTCTCTACGGATTTGCTTATTCTGGACTTCATATAAATGGAATCATACAATATGTGGTCTTCTGTGATTGACTTCTTTCACTTAGCACTTTGTTTTTAAGGTTCTTCCAGTCAACCTTAGCATATTTCTTAAGGTTGGATTTTTCTAATCCTTCTGACAAATCAAACATATAACCTTTTAAACTCCAAATCCTGACCCACACCCCATCCCTACTCAAAAGTACCATTTACTTGCTAGTTCCCTCTAGAGAGTCTAAACTATAATTTGCTATTTAGGTTCTTTCCAACTTCTTATTCTGGGCTCTTCCTCTGGTGATAGAACACCAACTTCTTTAAACACCAACCTTTCACATACCTAAATTTCTCTGACAATAGGATATGACTGTGCCTGGGGCAGAAAGATGACTGAATCCTTTTAATGAGATGGCCACAATCTGTTTTAAGTGAATATGGATTTTTAAAAAGAAGAGTTCTGAAGAAGAAGCCATCAGATGATCTACCACTCATAACTTCCAAGACTCCCTTTAGATGCTCTGTTCACATTATGTTGATATAAAACAAACATATCTGCATGACTTCATCTGCCTCAAAAACTTCTAAATCTAAGTTAAAGATTTAAAAGAAAATCACCCTACTGCTGTAGGTTTCAGTGTTCAAAGACTAAACACTAATCCTTAAATATGCCAACACAATAGGAACCAACACCATCCCAATTTTTATCACTATCCTAGACAGCCAAAAGAATTACCGATCTCTGATTGGATTCAGTAGTTTATTTCCATCAGAGTTAAGTCTTCTACCACCTTTCTGACTAAAAAGCAAACACATGCTAACACTGAGCTTATCATTTTCTCCTGAAAACTTCAGAGCCGTGGGAAGGAGCAGACACTGAGTGAGGACTTGGACGAACCAAATGGGGAGTCAGAGTGCCTTCTGGCCATCCATCAGGTTTTCAGGAACCAACAATTTTCAAGGGATCCTTGAGAAAAAAACTTTGGTCTCTCAGTAGCATGAAAAATGCCCCTTCTCCTCCTGTTTTCTCAAGAAAGAACTGCCTTTCACAAAGAGTATTTTTTCATGAAGATCACTCCAAACAAGACATCCTATTTTAAAATGCCCGACTCTTTCCTCAAGAAGCAAGGCCATCACTGCTGTTGTGAATTTCGGAACTTACTGACGTTAAATAATAAAACTAGAGACACTACACACTTCGGTAACATGCCATAAAAAAACTGATTAGCTCTCCTGTGTCTTCTAAACTGTGTTTAGCTTTTAGAGGCTAGAAACCCTGTCCTGTCCCCCCCGCCCCCCAAACACCATCTGTAATCCTTAGAAGGGAGCCGAAAGCCTTTCATCCAATCCAGTGAGCTGAAAGTTTAGAAAACAAAGAGCAGGAGAGCTCAGATTTGTGGAAGGTCCGGCCTCAATCTGCGACTTACTCCATGTAGTAAACACCAGTTCTTTAAAAATCTCCTCTTACTCCATCACGGACTCATTTCTTACAAGACCCTTGAGAAGGGTTTGTTTACACAAACAGCCTTTCCGAATCGCCCCCACCGCCCGCCGCCGCCTCCCGGTTCTCCCCCTCACTCTTCAAGGCTCGGTCGTGATTTTTTAAAAGTTAATTGGCACCACCTGCATACCCTCGGCAAACATTACTCACCAACACGCCCTCACCGTTCCCAGCCCCAGTCCTACGACTGCATTTAAACTTTCGTCGTGTTCAAATTACCCCACCATCGCGACAATGCCAGGAAACCACGTTTCAATCTTTTGAGTATGGAACCCCCTCCCTCGCCTCCCGCCACACACCGTGGGGCCCTAAGTTCTCGCTCCCTCCCCGCACTTCCCTACCCCTACCCGACGCTATCAAAACAAAAGCTATCGGATTGCAAGCGATAGCGAGCGTGGAGCGATATTGCTTATTAACTTTGTACAACGGAAGTGGGGGCGGGGGGCAGGTAGGGCACACAACTCCGGCCACAAAACCAAGGCGAGGGCTCCGCGCTCGCAAAACAAAACACCCTCCCGCCCCCCTCCTCCGCTGCCGCAGACCCCCGCGCTCCTCAAGCCACGGCGCACGACACCTCTCGCCAGGGCCAGGCGCCTAGGTGTCCCCGGGCGGCCGTGTGGCCACAGCTACAGCCCCGCGTTGCGAGCACGTGTGTGGAATTGCACGTCGACCCGGACCACACACCCACTCCGGCACAGTCGGATGCTGCCCGACCACCCCCAGCCCCGCCAGGAGGGAGAGAGGCGTCCAGCCGCGGACAGCAACTGGGTTGAAGAAAATCCCAGAACCCTCTTAACTAGCGGCCCAGACTCGCTCCCCGGAAAAGCCAGACTGATGTAGAGCCCCCGACCTAGCTGTTTCCCAGGGGACGGGGGGGTGCTAAGCGGGAACGCTCCCCCCAACCCTTGAGCGGCACAGGGCAGCCGCGGGAAGCCGAAGCCGGGGGCAGGTAACCCGCCAAAGATCGGGCGAAAGTGACGGGAAGGGAAAGGCCAGGATCCCAAAACGCCCGCGGGGCCAGGCGCGTTGGCGACGAGAGGCCGAGCGGGGAGGTTTGGAAACGTGTCCTGGGGCCGCGGGCCTGTCCGCCGGGCGCCTCCCCCTGGAACACCACGGCCGGTGGGCTCCCCGCCCCCCGCCCCCGGGCACCGCGTGTGCCCCCGCAGCGAGGGCCCCGCGCGGCCGCGGGAGCTGTCACCGCCGTCTGCGCGCCGCGCGGGGGCCGGCTTTCTGTGCGGAGTGGCCCGCGCGCCGGGAGGGGGTGAGCTGTGGGTGGCGGGGCCCGGGCCGGCGCGAACTTCCCCGACGGAGTCCCAGCGCGGGCGCGAACGCAGCCCAAGACAACCGGCCCGCGGGGCAGGGCTCTCGGGACAGCGAAAAGAGAAGCCCCCGAGGCCCTTCCCGTGCGAGGGTGCGTGAACTGGGGCCCCGGGGCCGCTCCGGCCTTCCGGCCGAGCCCCTCCGCACCCCGCCCCGCCGCTCCCGAGCCCGGGGGCCCGACAGCTGCGACAGTGGCAACTCGGGTTTCGCAAACAGGGCGCAGCCCCTCGGAGGAAAAGTTCCCGCAGTGGCCGCGGGCGGCGGGCACATACTCACTTTCTCCACTCGTCGGCCAGAGCGAGAGCGCGGCGGAGAAAAACAGGAGCCCCCACAGCGAGGTCGGGGACCCTCCTCCGGAGCCAGACTTCATTCCTTTTATTTGAGACGAAATTCCCCTCTCTCAAAAAAAAAAAAAAAAAAAAAAGGAAAAAAAGAGAAAAAAGAAAGAAAAAAGGAAAAAAGAAAAAAACGGGAAAGAAAAAGTCTCAAACTCAGTCTTCGCCCCCTCCAAAAACAGGGCGAAGGAAACAATACTCCAAAGGCGGCGCCGGCCGGGGACCCTCCGGGTGCGCGGAGCGGGCGGGCGGCGGCGCGGGGCGGCCCCTCAGCGCCGGCAGCCTCGGCCCAGGGCTCGGCGGAGTCGGGAACCCGAGGCGCGCCGGGGCGGGCTGTCGGCGTCGTCGGCCTCCATTTTCAAACCCAGAGAGGCAGCAGGGGGGGAAAACTGCACAGAAAGGGGGCAAAGCCCAAATTCGTCTCGGCGAGGAAAAACAAACCCGACCCCAGGCAGAGGGGGAGGCTGTCCGACACCCGAGCCTACGCGGCTGGAGGGCGCGACGCAGTTCGCAAGATTGCCCCGAAGTCCGGGTCGCGGGTGAGGCCGGCCAGGGGCAGAAATGCGGAGTAAAAATGAATGAGCGGCTCCCCCTCCTCCTCCGGGCTCCGCTCGCCGCCGCCTCCTCCCTCAGCGCCGCCGCCGCCGCCGCGAGCTCCTTCCCAAATCCAGAACACACACAAAGCGGCGGGCCGGCCGCGCCGCGCTCAGCACTCCCGCCGCGCCGCCCGGGCTCCGCGCCGGCCCCCGCCCGGCCCCCGCCCGCCGCCGCCGGCTCCGCGCGCGGGGGCTCCGGCTCGCTGAAGGTCAAAGCCGAGGCGCGCAACGCGCCGTGGAGCTCCCCTCGCGCGGGAGGGGCGTGGAGGGCCCGGGGAGCGGGGCCGAGGGTCTGCAAGCGCCGGGCACGGGCGCGCCGGAGACAGGCTCACTGGCGGCGTCCCTCTCGCTCGCTCGCCTCTCTTGAGTTCGCCTGGTGCGCTCGCTCCTCCTCGGGTTTTTTCCCTTTTTTTTTTTTTTTTTTTTTTTCCGCTCAGCGGAGTTAATGCTGGTAAACAAGAGCCTCAGCCTCGCCGCGCCGCTGCCGCCGCCGCTGCCACACACTGGGGGCTCGCGCGCGCGAGCTCTCGGGACCGCGCACACGCGCCCGCGCGCACACTGGAGCGGCCACAGCCGCAGCCGCGGCGCGCCGAGGGCCCGGCCCAGGACGGCGCGCGCCAAGAGCCGGAGCCCAGGATTCCAGGGACGTGCGGAGCGGAGCCCGGGCGTGGGGTGCGAGGCGGCGAGGCACCGCCCCCGCCCCCCGCCCGCGCCGGCACACGCGCGCGCGCGCCCACACGCTCTCGCCCCCACCCGCACTGCGCCGGCCATCCTGCACGCGCGCTCCCCTCCCGCAAGACTCCAAAAACAATGCCCCCGGCGCCGGCCCGGGCTCGGCGGAGGGGCAGGCTGGGGAGGAGAGGGGAGGAGGGGAGGAGGGGAGGAGGGGAGGGGGCGGAGCGGGCGGAGCGGGCGGGGTGAGCGGGCAGTGCGGGGCCGGAGAGGTTCATTGAAAACAACAGCACGGCTGGAAAGCGCGTTTCCTCGGGTCTTGAAAAGCTTCATTGTTTCTTGCAGCTGTTGCAAAATAAATAAATAAGTGCGTGCATGCGGCATTTTTTTCCTCAGCGTGCTGGAAAGCCCGAATGTGGCGGGAGGGGCACACCTGGGAGAAAGGAGACCCCCAAGCTACTAAGACAGGCACTTTCACGCAAGGCTGGGACGGCCGCGGCCTCGCGCCCGGGAAGCCCGGAGTTCTGGTGCTTGCGGGGAGCTGAAAGGGAAGGGCGCGGCCCGCATGGCCTGGCTCAGGGGCGCGAGGGGAGACGGCCTGCCGCCCCCCGCGGGCCCCGAGCCGGGGAAGGGGGGCCCAGACAGGCTGCCCCGCGTGCCCAGGGCGCGTCCCCGCGGCGGCCGCCAGGGGGCGCGGCAGGCGCCGGGGAGGGCCGGCCGGCGGAGTGTCGCCTCCCTCCGGGAGAGGAAATGTGGGGGCCCGGGCAGGGGGCTGGCCAGGCTGGGTCGCGCTGGTCGGGCCTCCACGACCCGCGGCCCGCCCTGGGCTCTCCTCGCGGCCTCACGAAGCTCGGGGCTCCACCACGTGGGCGGCTGCGGGGAGCGGCCGAGGCGCGTGCACAGTGCTGGGCTGCGGGGCCCCGGAGGCTGGGGGGGCGTGTCCGAAGGGCTCCTGAGGATTGGGTAGGGGGCCGGGGCCGAAGCCCGGGCTCGGCTGGGTCTCCCGGCTGGTGTCGGGACCCGGGAAGGTGCCGCACACACGCGCGATCAGTGGTCACTGCGGAAACCCATCCGCACCTGCCTGGGGTCCTCCCGAGCACGTCTCGCTAGTTTCGTTTGCTACGTAAGTGACTAGAAACCAGCACCAATTCCAGGTCTCCTTGGTGGTTTTCCTGAATGTGACCAAGGAGCGGTTTCCCCAAAGAGAGACTGCCCTAGGACTGCCATCTAATGAAATAATGCTGCGGAGACCAGGTTCTCAAAGGAGAAACAGCCCAGCAATGGCTGGAGAAAGGAGTTTGAAATACGTGGACTTTTAAAAATAGTGATTGGACCACGTGTCGTCTGTAACGTGGTCCGGTTTCATGACTCAGGCTAATTGATGTCAATAATAAATTAAAAAGAAGATGGCTAATACAAGAGTTGTGAATGTCTAGATCGAGTGGCAGTGTTTGTCTCAAACAATTAGGCTGTCTGGTAAGAGGAGAACGTTTCTAAAGGAAAGGTAGGTTTCTTTTTTTTACTCTAATTGTAAAGGATTTCCGCGTTACGTTATGCATCCCATCGTTCGTAAATAATTTTTTCAATTAAGAACTGAAAACAAGTCAGAAGCTATCACGATGGAAACCTAGCCCTTTTCCCCCCTATATTTATTTCCTAGATCATTTTTCCCCTTGGAAATTTTTAGCTCAATTCAGTGAGTCAGTGTATAGAAAGGAAATAAATCTTTTTTTTCTTTTTTAGTTAAAAGAGTCATTCATATGGGATTTGTTTTTGTTTAACTGAAATTCAGCTTAATTTTCAAATACAATGTTCCAGTTTTAGATGTTTCTGGACATTAGCAAAGGAAGAAACATATTAGAATCTTTAAAAAGAAACTCAAATTTAGCATGTATCATTTAAAAATAAGGCACTATATGTGAATAATTAAAATTTAGTTTACTAATTTTTAAAATATTTCTTCAGAGAGTTCCCTGCATGAGGTTAATCTTGATGCCTACAGATCCATTCTGCAGCTAAATGTAAAGGAATATCAATATTATATTCTCATCGTATTTAGTGTTCAGAATTTTTTAATACATACTTGTAAATTAAGACAAAAGTTTAGAGCTGATTTTAAAAGGTGAATGCTAATATAAGCATCTTTACTACACAATATATTTCAAGTATTAGTAATAAAAATGCCCATTGAGTTGTCACTGAACATAAGGAGGTTTATGGAATAAAGAGAAATATATAGTTATTTATACTGTAGAGTTTTTTTAACCAAAATGATTTTTCATTTGTGAGTTTTTTAAATGTTTGTGTTTTCCTAAAGTAGTAGGAAATAAATAAGGTTAAGTTATTTTAGACAGTGAAGTTACATGCTTACTATTATAGAGCTTAATATTGAGAAGAGAGTGAAAATTTAGATTGCTTTTTAGCTCTAACTTGATCACCTAGACAAAGAAGGTGATTTGTGTTTTCTTCAAGGATTACGTTCTACATCTCAAAGTCAAACTTATTTTTTCAACCTTGGAAATAAAATCATGTAGTAAAACATTAATTGAGTCTTTGCTTTATAATAGCACCAACAATGCATCACCCATTTTGTTTTATGCAATTTTCCCCAGGTGTCTTATAAATTTCCCTTCATTTGGAGCTGAAACTGGTTGCTCACTTTCACCTTTTAAAAACTGTTTACTTGAAAAGTTTTATTTCAAAATATTCTGCTAAATGTACCAGACGCCCCCAAAATGTAATATGTACCAAGTGAAAATGTGAAAAACAGCACAGATGACAACTGATAAGTATTCTAAGTACACAATACACTATGGTATATTTCCAGAAAGAAATGTCATTCAAAGCAAAAGCGAATAAACCACAGCCACACACACATGGGCAAATCTTTGAAACACAATTTTAAATTTAAAAAAAAAATGCAAGTTCTGAAAAAAAGCACACGACACCATTTTGATAAAGCTCTTAAACGCAAGGACAACAAAAAACTTGTGGCAATCTTTTAAAGTAAAATAAATACACAATAAAGTATTTTTGTTTTGTTTTACTTTTGTTTTGGCAAGAGGATTAATAAAGAACACAAAACATAGGATCCTGGTTACCTCTGGGAGGGAGTGGGGAGAACCCCAGAGGCACATGCAATGTTCTCAGAACTATGTTCATTCTCAGGTCGGGTGGTAAATTGACAGATTTCCCCTTTATCATTATGCTTTATAACTAATGCATATATTACACATATTTTTGTATGTATAAAATATTAAAGAAGATGATAAAAATATGGGAGAGAGTCACAAAAGAGATCATCCCAGTTTTCCAATATGATTCTTTCAGATTCCAAGTTGTTTGCATAAACAACTCAGAAGAATTGAAGAACCATTAAAATAATAGTTAATCAAGGTCTTATCCTTAAGGATACATTTCAAAAGAATATGTACCCATAACCTATCAATGCAATTCAAGACAAAAACAAATCATGAAATAAAAAATGTAGAAGAATTCACAGGTAATCAGGTTTATTAATTAAGAGTGCATTATGTAAACTGTCTGGCAGTTTCCTGTAAGGTTAAACACACACCTAACTTATGATCCAGCAATTCTACCGCTAGCGATTTAACCAAGAAAAATTAAAATAAGTCCTCAAAAAGACCTCTATGGAAATGTTGGTAACTGCTTTATTCGTAAAAGCAACAAACTGGAAGCAACCCAAATGTACATCAAAGAAGAATGGATAAACAAATCATGACATAGCCATTCGATCCAATATTGCTTAACAATAAAAAGGAACAAACTATTAGTACATACGAACACATGGATGAGCCTCAAAAGCATAATGCATAAGCCAGCACAAAAGAGTACATATTGCATTAGTTGAGATGAAGTTCAACAGCAGGCAAAACTGATCTATGAGATAAAAATCAGAATCATAGTTGCCTTTGGTGAGGGGCAGCAGGGTTGTGGATGATTAGGAAAATGTATAAAGAACTTTCTAAGGTTCTGGCAATGCTCTGTGTCTTGATTGGGGTATTGGCCACGGCAGTGCATGTATTCATCAAAAAACACATCAAACTATATGCTTAAGATGGATGCATTTCACTGTGTGTAATTATATCTGAATTTTAAAAGTTTTAAGGAGTATATTGTGTAATTTAGAAATTTTGTAGCTGTTCTAAAAAAATTTGGCACAATGCTTTCCATTTTTGCTATTATGTGAGTTAGCAGAGATGCTCATCTCCAACCTTCATGCCCACAGCTGTCTCTGCAGAAATATACTTTCAGAGGTCCATCTGCCTAAGGTCCCCTGCAAAGGGTTTTAGCTGTGGTAGGCTCTAAAGGGTCTCCACAAAGCAATTCAGGGGCAAGAAAGATACTAGTGATCTCTAGCTGGTTCAAGTCCCTACATGGTGAAGGCAATGTGAGTCGCAGTCTCCTTGAGATCTGTCTCCACTCAACTCGAGAAGATTTTCTATTTTAGATTTGCACAGATAGCCAGCTCACAGGGCCATAAATGCTATACTCCTCCATGATACTTTAAAAGCAATGTGGAGGTTTCAGAGAGAATTTGGACGAGACAAGCTGTCCACATTTGGGTAAAATATCAATAAGGGAAGTTCGTGGGCCAGGAGTGATAGGCACCCTTGGAATCAGCATAGATTCAAGGTAGACTGGAAGGCTTCTGTCCCTGCACCAGCTCCCTGAGCATACCCTTCTACAGACTGGCACTGACCTATCCCCAACCTGATGGTAGACATGTTTGATTCCCCACATGGTAGTCTGGGAAAATAAGCAAC